TTTAGCCTCCAGCTCACACAATTTTGTCCTTGCTCAGGAAGGAGGGCTCCAACGCAAACTGATGTATGCAGTAGCCAAATCACTTGCTCACAACTTTAACGCCAGTAGCTCACAAAGTTGAATTTTTGCTCACAAGACTCCACAGCTTAGAGGGAACATTGCACTCCAGTATCTTTGCCAAGAAAACCCCATGGACAGAAACCTGCATAGCAGCCAAGAAACCCCAAGAAAATCAAAGAGGTATGGTAACCATGAAGGAAATAAGAATAAGCAAGTGTTCAAAGGTGGTCAAGCCCCCCCCCCCATTAGTCTTACCACAACAGATTAATTACGGTTGCCAACTTCATGTTGGAAAATCTCTGGAGATTTGGAGGGGCAAAGCTAGGGAGGCAAGGTCTGGGGAGGAAAGGTACCTTAGTGGGGCATAATGCCACAGAGTCCACCCTCCACAGCAGCCATTTCTTCCAGGGGATCATATTTCTGTAGTCTGGAGATCAGTCACAATTCTGGGAGATCTTCAGGCCCCCCTCAGAGGTGGGCACCCTTGGCTGTTTCAGGGATCAGTTACTTGAAGTGCTGAAGGGCAGACAGGTGGGGAATACAGTCTGAACATACAAATCATAATAAAATAAGATCCTCTGCCCGTTTATCTGTGCACAGTTCTGTGCGACAGTCTTTGTACAGCCTGCAAACCAGTCCCAAAGAGCACCAAGCATGCTGTTTGGGCTCCATTTCCTCCCCAGTCTGCTTTCCCGTATGGTATACTAGTTAGAATATTGAATGATGAAAGCCTGGGTTCAAATCCCTCCTCAACTAGCAACCTGCTCTTGGGTGGGGCTGGGAGCAGGGATTGGCACAAGGGAGCCGCAAAGCAGGGAAGGAAAGGGGTGTGGTGCTCGAAGGGGGTGGCCCAGGTATGGTTGCCAACCTCCCAGTGGGGGCTGCAGATCTCCCAGAATTTGAACTGATTCCCACTGGCAACGGAAATTGGCTACTTGGCAAGGTGGACTCCATGGCATTAGACCCCTCGGATATCCCACTCCCCCCCATCCCCTCCATCCCTGCTCTCCCAGGTATTTCCCATCCAGGAGTTGGCAACCGTAGGTGGCTGGCCAGAGATGCTGCAAGCCGGAGGGCAGTGGGGGTCAGTTTCCCAGATCCCCCTTAGCCACTGGTGGGGGTTGGGCAGGAGGGTCGGCCAGCTCCAGGTTTACAAATTCCTGGAAATCTGGAGATGGAGACCGGGAAGGACAGGGAACTCAGTGAGGGAGAGAGTCCACCCTCCAAAGCATCCATTTTCTCCCCCGGGGGTGGTGGTGGTCCAAAGTGATCAGGAACAAAACAGTTTATTTCTCCGCAGAGGAAAGTCCCTGGCAATCAAGCCAGGAAGACCCGAAACAATACTTACAAGAACCTTAAATACCTCTTCTATTGATGCAATCATAATTTTAATAACTCAACCCACTGATTCCTACAGGCACCTTCATTCTAAGGTATTAATGCCCCTTGGCTGATTTTCTCATGTTAGGTAATTTTAAAACTGACTCAGCGATGCTATTCTGTATTTTCCCAGATATCTGTAGCATTCTTTAGCGGCTACACGTTTCCCTTCTGGATTCAGCCTTCAGAATTCCAGCCAGCCTAGCTTGTCTTCAAGGAAGTACTACAACAAAGAGTGGAAATACACAGTCCCCCCTCCCCCGTGAATCAGCCTTTGTTCTACCATAAAGCTGATTGTCTGATATACAGCTCCTGCCTGCCTTTGCAGATGGGGGGGGGGGGGTCCCAGACCAAGGGGGTTGCCAGTCTCCTGCCTGCAGACTACCAAATCCGTCCTCCAGAAGGAGAACTGATCTCTGTAGTCTGGAAATGAGCTGCAATTCCAGGGACTCCACAGGTCCCACTTGGAGGCCGGCATCCCTAAGAGTGGGGGTGAGGGTAAAGAAAACGCATTTTCTTTTTTCTACTCAACCATCCCATTTCCTGAGATGGCTAAACAGCACTGAATACCCTGGGAGCGCAGCCCTGTGCAAAGTTACTCCCCATTGAGCTGCCTAGGGCGGTTATGGACGGCAGCCTGGCTGAAGTCCGCTCCATCCACGTCTGGGCGCTGCTCCTCCGGGAAAGGACGGGAAGCCTCTCTCATTCGTCTGCAGCACTGAAAGAGTTAAACCAACAGAGCTGCTTGCTAGAGAGGCCAAGGGAAGGGGGTGGGGGGAGTGGAAAGGTTATTTTCCTGGGTGTGTATGTGTGGAGGGGTTTGCTTCTGAATCGCCAAAGAGGACAGGAGGGGCTTCAGGCAGGTAATGGGGGAGAGCCGTGCAGCCGGCTTCTGGGAAGGTTTACTCACAAGACAGGGGGAAGGGGAGGGATAAGCTCTTAAATATTGGAAAAGAGAAATGTTGGCTCTCATGTATAGCCTCAGAAGGCCAACTATATACACACCCACCCAGCACAGCTCTAGTCCATTGGAGGGTTTGTGTTGGTCTTAAGCAGAAGAACAAAGTTGGAGTCCAGCAACACCCTTAAATTTTATTCAGGGTATAAGCTTCTTCAGATACAGTGAAACAGAATTTCCGGAGCTGTGTTGGTCTGAAGTACGTAGAAGAACAGAGTTTGAGTCCAGTGGCACCTTTAAGATCAACAAAGTTTTATTCAGATTTATTCAGGGGCATGCACGCTGCTTCAGGTACATTGAAATTTCAAGTGGAAGTTACCGGTCCATACATATAACTGGAGGGTAAGTGGCAAATCAGTGTACAACATAATGAAGATGCTTAACAAATTCCAGAACCAAACAGGAATAACAAGCTTAGTTTTTCATTTGGGCTTAACAAGCCATTTGATTTGGTTTAATTTCTGGGGAAAGTGGAACAGTGAAGGAAATAAATATTTCAAAACTGGAGACTGATGGGCAGATGTGCCTTTCTAAATTGTGGAATGCTGAGAGTAATTAACAGAGACCTTGTTGTTATGCTCCATCGGTCTCCTCTGAGGTTTTCTGAGGTCTTTTTTAATTTGTTAGCTGCCTTGGTGGCCCTGGTAGGGGACAGAGAGGTGGGATCTGAATGATTTGTTAGCTGCCTTGGTGGCCCTGGTAGAAGACAGAGAGGTGGGATCTGAATGTTGTAGATAAAAATAAATTCTCAGCCATGGAGGTCTTTAGGCAGGCCCGGAAAGGAGTCTGACGGCTGATCAGGAGGGGAGGAATCCTTCATGCCAATCGGCTCCTTGACATGCCAGGCATCTGAGCCAGTGTTCCCCCCCCCCCAGCTGCCCTTCCCCCAGGGGTTCACCCCCCCCCCCCCTCCCGTTCATCCAGGCAGCCCCTTCTGCCCTGACCGGGAGAGGCTGGACAGCCCCTGGCCCATCCCCTCTGGTGGCTGCTTGGACAGAGCTGTTGCCTAACGCTTCCAACACAGAAGCCCCTCATAGTCACTTTATCCAGGGTTCCATTTTACATTGAGATGTAGCCCCCCCAGAGAGACTGATTCCCTGGTCATCTAAAGCCAAGATCGTATCATCCACAACAGACTTTTCAGGAGCCAAATAAAGACGGCTTGCTTTCCTGATGAACTAAACAGGCATATCTAACACAGCTTGATACGTCATAGAGCAGAATGACGCAAATCTTGATCCACAAATGGAACAATTATATTCTTTCCAATCCACCGGGCCAATCCTTTGGTGTCTCTTTACCAGGGTCGGTGATGTAGCTCTATTCTCTTTTGGTTTCTTTCTGTTTTTTTGATTGCCTTTCCTCTTCCTCTTTGTAGCTGCGTGAGTAAGGGTATCTTTCCACAGTTGGAGGCGACCCAAGAGGAGGAGAAGGCGATGGAAGAGGAGGACTCAGAAGGGCCTGGAATAGGCAAGAGATCGAGGGAAATTCCTCATCCCACCCAGGCAGGGAGTGGAGCTGAACACTGGGAAAGAGCTGTGCCAGAGATCCTCTCTCAGGACACGATGACTGCAGACGTACGCAACCGACGCTTCCGGCAGTTCCGCTACGATGAGGCCAATGGACCCCGAAAGGTTTGCAGCCAGCTCCACGGACTTTGCAGCCACTGGCTGGAGCCCGAGAGGCACACCAAGAAGCAGATCCTGGCCCTGGTGATCCTGGAGCAGTTCCTGGCCATCCTGCCCCAGGAGATGCAGGGCTGGGTGAGGGGATGTGAGCCGGAGAGCAGTTCCCAGGCGGTGGCCCTGGCCGAAGGTTTCCTCCTGAGTCAGGCCGAGGAGAAGAGGCAGGCAGAGCAGGTGAGGGGGTGTCCTTCACTCAGTTCCAGCAAGGACCTTGTCCTAAGAATTCCCTGCCAGGTATTTTTCCCCTTATGGAATTTCCCCCTCCCGTTCATCCAGGCAGCCCCTTCTGCCCTGACCGGGAGAGGCTGGACAGCCCCTGGCCCATCCCCTCTGGTGGCTGCTTGGACAGAGCTGTTGCCTAACGCTTCCAACACAGAAGCCCCTCATAGTCACTTTATCCAGGGTTCCATTTTACATTGAGATGTAGCCCCCCCAGAGAGACTGATTCCCTGGTCATCTAAAGCCAAGATCGTATCATCCACAACAGACTTTTCAGGCGCCAAATAAAGACGGTTTGCTTTCCTGATGAACGAAACAGGCATACCTAAAACAGCTTGATACGTCATAGAGCAGAACGACACAAATCTTGATCCACAAATGGAACAATTATATTCTTTCCGATCCACTGGGCCAATCCTTTGGTGTCTCTTGACCAGGGTCGGTGGTGTAGCTCCATTCTCTTTTGGCTTCTTTCTGGCTTTTTGATTGCCTTTCCTTTTTCTCTTTGTAGCTGCGTGAGTAAGGGTATCTTTCCACAGTTGGAGGCGACCCAAGAGAAGGGGAAGGCGATGGAAGAGGAGGACCCAGAAGGACCTGGAATAGGCAAGAGATCGAGGGAAATTCCCCATCCCACCCAGGCCGGGAGTGGAGCTGAATACTGGGAAAGAGCTGTGCCAGAGATCCTCCGTCAGGACATGATGACTGCAGACGTACGCAACCGACGCTTCCGGCAGTTCCACTACGATGAGGCCGATGGACCCCGAGAGGTTTGCAGCCAGCTCCACGGACTTTGCAGCCACTGGCTGGAGCCCGAGAGGCACACCAAGAAGCAGATCCTGGACCTGGTGATCCTGGAGCAGTTCCTGGCCATCCTGCCCCAGGAGATGCAGGGCTGGGTGAGGGGATGCGAGCCGGAGAGCAGTTCCCAGGCGGTGGCCCTGGCCGAAGGTTTCCTCCTGAGTCAGGCCGAGGAGAAGAGGCAGGCAGAGCAGGTGAGGGGGTGTCCTTCGCTCAGTTCCAGCAAGGACCTTATCCTAAGGCCTCCCTACCAGATATCTCTACCTTTAGAGGATTCACAGGGGTGGGAAGAAACCCCAGCCCTCATTCTTGGCCCTGTGGCTGAACCAGCTCTGCTGGTCGATGGAGGGATGCAGAGTCTGGGAGTGGGGCAGCAGGATCCGTCTCCTCAGCCTCTTCCATTTCTTATCTTACTCGTCTCCCTTACTGCTGTTTCAGATGTGGGGATCAGCAGTCAAGATGGAAGCGAAGCTCTCTGAGGCAGAAGGAGCTCCGTCAGAGGAAAGTCTGAGGGCACAAGCCCAGCAGCCTGCCCAAGATCCCCTGTCAAGTGGAAAAGGTGCCTCCTGCCCAGATGGGATCATTGGGTCAAGTCATTGGGTGGAAGGTTTGGGACAGAGGAAAAAGGAAATACTTCTGCTCTCTACACAGAGGGAACTTCTGGGACTTGGGCCCCAGGATGTAGTGATGGCCACTCACTTGCATGGGGAGTAGACAGATTCATGGAAGGCCATTGCATTCTTATCTTAAAATATTTGTATCTGATTTTTTTTTCCATTAGAGGGACTGGAGGTGGCTCAGAAAAGGAAAGGAAGACAAATGTGGGTGCAGCTATTAGCCCTGGTGATGAATGAATGGAACCTCCCATGTTCCCCAATAATTGGGCTTCTCAGCCCCTGCTTAAAGGCTTTCTAAGGGCTTTTGGCAGGCCAGAGTCAGAACGAGGATACTAGACTAGGGATGACAGGCCATGGCCTGGCCACCCCATGAGGTTTGAGGGCAGAGAATGGGGTGGGCGTCATGTCCTGTTGATGTCTCGTCCAGCCGAATACCCAGATGCAGGGGTCATTTCCTGCAGGAGCGCACAGGAGCGGAGCTCCGGCAGTAAAGAGCCCAGGGGGTGGGCACATGCAACAAGCCCCGCCCCCCGCTCCCAGCACCCCTCAGTCAGAGCAAGAAGCAGTCAGGTAAGTTGCAGAGACCCACCCTCCCCCCTGGTCCAAAACAGTCCAGTGGCACCTTTAAGACCAAGTTTTATTCAGGTACAAGCTCTCCCTCCTCTGCAAGGACAGATCTGCACGTTCCCACCCCCCCAATAGCTAGTAATCCAAAACAGTCCAGTGGAGCCTGAGCGGTGGGTGTTGCCTTCTGACACACTTCCAGTGATGTCAGGGGGTGTGGCATATGCAAATGAGTTATGCTAATGAGTTATGCTAATGAGCTCCTGCACCTCTTTTTCTACGAAATGACCCCTGCCCGGATGTGAAGTCAGAGCATCAGCAGATGCCCTCGAACACCTTTGATAGTGCACTAAAATGACATCCGGGTTTGGGATCTGGATGTTGTGAGTCATGTTGTTCAATGAGATTGATGGTCCCTAAAATTCACCCTTCCAATTGTGTCTCTCTTGCAGGCCATGAAGAGATGCTGTCAAGCCATCATCTTTGCAGTGGAGCACAAATGTCTGCTCCCCCTCTGGTCCAGGTACTTTGGGTGATGATTGGAGGACCATTGGGCCCGATTCCTTTCTCAGGGACACCTTTGCTCCAGCTGTCCGAGCAAGAGAGGCTCTGAGCGCAACTCCCTCTACACATAGCAAGCTCTGCGTCCTGCACCCTTCCAGAATGCCCCTGTCTGTCGAGAGTGTCGTCTCTGCCTGGCACGATCTGTGACCAGGGAATCTGCTTTTTCTTTCAGTCTCCCTTTTCCTTTGAGGAGGTGGCCGTGTGTTTCACAGAGGCTGAGTGGGCCCTGCTGGATCCGGGCCAAAGAACTCTCTACAGGGAAGTCATGCTGGAGAACTATGGGAATGTGGCCTCTCTGGGTAAGGATCTTTCATTGGTGTCAAAGGTACTAATTGCTGCCCTTGGGGTGATGCATAAATCAAAATATTGAATGGCAGTCTGTGGCTGTGAGGCCTGTCCAGCTACCTTTCCCCACACTGGGGGCCTCCAGGACTTGGGGTGGCAGTGAAAGTGAAGTTCAGCATGGCTGGAGAGAGTGACCCAAGCCCCCTGGGGCCAGTGCTGTGGCCCTCACCCAAGCCAGAGGGGGAGCCCTGGCCTGTGGCCAAGGCGGGGCTGAGAGCCCCCCAGAAAGACTCTGGAAGGGGCCAGATCTCGATTTCTCAGTGGCCAACCTCTACCACATGCCCTTGCCCCAGAGGGGATTACAGGCATCCACTCTGACTATGATCAGGATCTCTCTCCTTTATACTGGTTGGGATTTGGGGCTTTGATTTTGACCACGGTTCCATCCTTCCAGATGAATTTATCCTCTTCCTTCAATTTCTGTCTCTCTCTCAGCAAAAGAATCCAGGAATGCAAGAGAGACAACACTGGAGAGCAAAGAAGGCTTCGTGTCCAAAGAATGGCTGGAGATTTTCTCAGGGAGATCTCAAGGGACTCTTTCTTTCCCACCTGAGCTGCCTGCTAGTGAGTTTCCTTCGTGGTTAGGTCAAGGGAATGGGCCAGGGACAGCAGGGGGACCTTTCTTCTTCCCTTCTGGGCAACTCTTGGTTTGGTGGAATGATCCAGCCTGCTAGGTAAGGAGGGAGGGAGGCCGTCTGGGCCTGGGATGTGGAGATTTGGGAGCTCCTTCTGGGGCTGAGCTCAACTGTGGCTGTTGAGGGGCTGCACTCTCCTTAAATACCAGATATTCCCAGGGGGGGGGGTTTACCTAATAACAGCCCTGCTGGATGTGGCCAAAAGCACATCAACCCTTTCCTACTGTGGTCTCCTCGATGCCTTCGTTCCTTGGTTGGAGATGGGTCTGAGTGCTTTCTTTGGAGCTGCTCTTCCTTGCAGGGGTGGCCTGCCGCAGATATTTCCACCAGGGGGAACTGGCTTCAGCCAAACCACACAGCACCCTCTGTTGTGGTGAGGGGGGGGTCAGTCCTCACCCCCAGGGGTGGAATCATTTGCTATTGAAGAGATTCCCACTGACCCTGTCAACCCAGTAAACACAGAGTCAAGTTCTCAGCTGAAGCACAGTTGGTTGAGGCACAACAGGACAGGGAAAGCCCTGTAGCCCCCTCCCGTCTCCCCAAGAGGTAAGCGACCAACTCCTTCCCAAAGGCTAAGCCCCTTCCAACTCCTTGAGGCAGGAAAGTGTCTACTGCAGAAAAACAGACACACACACACAGAGAAAGAAAGCCAGGTATACCTGTCCAATCAGCATGCCCCGGTTCCCGGGTTTCTCTGAGGCCGGCCAGCACTGTCTTCCCCTGTCCCCAGGGAAGAGGGTTGAATCAGTGACCACCCTGTGCTGTTCTAAGGCGCTGCCAAACTAACTCCCCCACACTTCTCTTCCTTCACCCAGGTCCTGCTGATCCTCTGCATATTAGCCACGTGTTGCCAGGGTTTGGGGAGGATGGGACAGGATTTCCTCTTCTGGGGTCATAGCTAGACTTTTTGGCACTGCGTGTTCCTCGAGGGCAGACTTTCAGAGGGCTTTTCTCTGCTGTGACATTTTGTAACCCCAAAATGACCTTGCGGCCCGGTAAGCCAGTCTTCTGGCTATCTCTCGCTGCGCTTTAGACAATAGAGAGGCCCCGAGAACGGTTCAGAGATAGCAAGGAAATGTCTCTTGAGTGTAGGTGGCCCTACACTGCAGGGTTGCTTTTCTCACTGGACTTTACCTGCCCCCCTAAAAAATGAGACCTCTTCAAAAACCATGGGGGGGTCCCTTTGGAACTGTAGGGTTCACTTTGTGAGCTCCTGGCTTCTCACTGCCCCATAGCAAACTTGTATTTTTGGGAGGCTGAAAACCAGCTCCTTCTTGGCTGTCATCATATCTAGAATCATAAAATCATAGAGTTGAAAGGGATCTCCAGGGTCATCTAGTCCAACCCCCTGCACAATGCAGGAAATTCACAAATTCCCCCCCCACACACACACATGCTATTCCATGACCAGAAGATGACAAAAAACTTCCAGGATCTTGAGCCAAACTGGCTTGGAGAAAAGTTGCTTCCTGACCCCAAAAGTGGCAATCAGCCTTTCCTGCCCTCCCTCTCATGATTTCCCTAAGTTCACAGAATCAGCATTGCTGTCAGATGGCCATCTTGTCTATGTTTGAAAACCTCCAAAGAAGGAGAGCCCACCGCCTCCCGAGGAAGCCTATTCCACTGAGGGACTGTTCCGGTCCGACCTTCTGGGGCAACAGAAAACAACTCCGTACCATCCTCTATATGACAGCCCTTCAAGTACTTGAAGATGGTTATCATGTCACCTCTCAGTCATCTCCTCT